AATAGCAACAACCGATGCACGAATCGGACTCGGTGGTCGCGAAATTTCGCATTGTACCGCATGTTTCGACAAATTTTAAACGTCACGCGAGAAAATTCGTTTCTGCCCGCTGAGAAATATTACGGCGAAAAACGGGTGGATCGTTAAATTTTAACAATCACGGTTTACTGCTGTTTTATATTATAGCGGGGCTATCTGCCGAATAGGCGGGGGAGGGGGGCAGGACAGGGGAGGGGGGCAGACCTCTCCCTGGTAAAATGCCACCAGTAGTGGTCCGCATAAAGTTTCGATGGGTCCAAACAATCGGTGTCCGCTCGGACTTTAACCAGTTGGGCAGAGTTTGCACGGCTCGTTTTCTTTGGACGGGAGAGATCGTGAAACCAGATGAAACGCGATACCACGAGACGTCGTCTCGGTTTGCGGAAACCTGCGGAATTCTCCCTTTTAGCAGGGGGACAATGACGGTGGAGGGAGCAGGAAAATCTGTTTTGGTGAATGGAAGAATGGAAGAGAAAGTGATATCTGTATCCAATAGATATCTTGGAAACAGATATATTGGAAATAGATTGGAGATGGAATTATTATTTGATATTTTAATTTTCAAAAACGATATTTTCCAAGCTTTTAAGAGATTTATTTATAAGTGAAATGAAGAAATGATGAAAAGAAGAAATATATAAATAAGGAACAAATAGAGAATAGAAAATAGCCTTATACATATAAATATATATAAAATTCGAATAAAAATTTAATCAAATGGAAATACATCTTTCAATCGAGAGACTTACGACTCATAATCTTTTTATAGCCTCTCTCCAGTTAAAAATCGACGTTCATTCCTAAAATAGAATCGCTGGATAAAAGATAAATAATCAAGGATGGAGTGGCTAGACAAGTAAAACAATTCAACAGTCGAACAAGTAGAAGAAGATAATTATACCGCGCAAGAATAAAATACACAAGTAGAACGAAACAGCTGCGATCAGACGAGATTTCTACCACAACTTCATCGTACGTATATATTTCAAACAAAGTATCTAATTCGTTCATCCTTTAATAACGAATCCTAAATACATTAATTAACGGATTCTCCTTTCTGCTAGTATTATTATCTCAAATAATTTCCAGATCCAATTTCCAAATTTCACTAAAATTCAACAATCGGTCAGAAAAGGATCCTCCCTCTCTCAGTCAAAATCCAACATCCAGTTTAATCAATTTAAATGGCAAACAATCGCGAGTATTGGGATCAGCCTGGCGATTATAATCGTATTTCGTTTCTGCGGGAGGAGGAAGTCCTCCCGATTTCACGGTCACGTATCTCCCGTAAAACAACCCTCTCGTCACGTTAGCATTCAACATTTGTTTGCCGCTTCTTAAGGCGATCCCCCCCTCCGTGGCTCGAGCCACGACCTAAGGATCAAACCTGACTCTTTCGACTTCTCGACGCGACAAGATTTATGCGCGGACCAACCTCCTCGTCCGAGATGCGATCTCGAGGCTTAGGCCGGATGCCAAGTCTTATATATATATATATATGTATGCGAGATTTTTCATTGGATCGACCGGTCTCTATATCACAATTTTAGAATTTTCATCTCCCTCCGTTTTTTGGGTCCTTTCATCGAATTTTCGAGCTTTAAATGTACATTTACTCACCAATCGTTGCCAGTCTTGGTCACGTTCTGTCGCTTGCGCCCAGTTTGATGGGGTTTCGGCTCGGCCACCATGTTAACGTCTGCAACAAAAAAGAAAAGAAGGGATGGATAAAACGAACAAAGGAAATCGAAAAATCTCGTAAAGTTTAATTCCCCTTTGTCTCCAATCTAAGAACGCGTATCAACGACTCAAATAACCAACGGGTTAAATACCCGTTGTGCGCCATTTATCGTTAAAAAGAGAAGGGGATGAGTGGTGGTGGTGTGGTTAGAGCGGGGATCGCGATAGAAATCTGTCTCTTGGCTTAATAGCCGGCTCAAATTAATAAAGCGGACGGCGGCAAAGGGGCTTAACTTGTCCGCAAACAGTTATTAATTTCATCCCTTTGCGGCGCCCGTTTCTGTATCGTGGTGGTTCTGCACTGTGCCAAGGTGGATAATGGATGCGCGTTCGAGTGATCAGTACAGCAGTTGAGCCGTTGTGTCAGCGAATTATCCATTCTTCTTTTGATGGGGGAGAGGGAGAGAAAATGAAAAAAGGGAGATAGACGGAGAGAGGATTTTATTCTTCACGGTTGCGGTGAATGAAGGATTTGGCCTTCGTGTTTTTATCGACGTTCGATAAGGAAGGGAGAGGCTTATCGTGCGAATTAATTTCGCGGGAAATCGATGATCAAGGAAATTATCGAGAGAATCTTAATCCGTCTTAAAATTAATTGATCTATGTTGTCGCTTGATTGTCAATCCTTTTAAAAACTTGCTTTGTTCGTTGAATATTCTTCCTTTCGAGAATTAATTTATTAATTCTTTTTTTTTATTTTCGATAAGAGAACATTCAAAATTAGTTTAATATTATATAATCACTTGTTTGTCATCGTAAATGATGATTCCCTTGACAGGGAGAACAAATATAATCTTAGACGCGATACCGGACAAGCCAGCTGATTCCGATGGGTGTGCAGCCAGTACGAAACGCGACACAAGACCCATCCTTTGTGTAACCTAGCCAAACACATACAGTGCATGCAGACAGAGCGACGAGAGTGTGCATACAACCCATCGTAGCTAAAAGTCAGCTTTATTATGATGGCTACTTGTACATAAGATGAGGAAATTGTTTGTACACCGGTTCTTCCAAATAATTTGCTCGTTTATATGAGAAGATCGTATAATCCAGGAAAAATATAACTTGATCGAAATGAAAAACTGTGTTAAAAATTTCATTGTAAATATTCAATGGATATAATAAAAAATTCCAAAAAAAAAAAAAAAAAAGAATTTGGAATTTTGGATAAATCTATCTCTATTCCTCGCAAGACGTTAGATTTATTAAAAAAGAAAAATAGAAAAGGTAAATGAATCTTTCACGAGATCAATATTCGAAGATGAATTTTTCAAAAGAATTATCGGTAACAAAGTTAGCGAAGTAATCCATTCATAGACGTTTCAACCGTGGAATATTAATGTTTGAATAATTTCTGTTTTCTGGGTGGTCGTAAACTAATCTCTACGGTAGCATGTATTTACTTGTGCCCGTTGTTTACCGACTGCACACAATGCCCGAACGTTGCAAATACTATGCACAAATGTGTATTAAATCAGAATATTCGTTAGCAGTTGATGCGGAATTAATGTAAATGAACACGTTAATATTAGTTGACACACGTTCTATGTGGAATAACGTAATAACCGTATATAATAATATACTATATAAAGATATTACAGTGATTAAACGCGAATAAACCAATATCTCGACAATCTGTAAACTTATATCTTACGTGCTATTCCATTTATAGAACTTTTATTATAGAACGTAAAACATTTTACCATTTCTTCTTTTTCTTCCCCCTTTTTTCTTTACCTCATATATATATATATATGAATATGAATCGCGATTTATTTCGATCGTTCCAAATCTTCGTTCCAAAACTATTTAATTTTAATATATATTACCGGATCTCAAGTTCTTTGACATTTCTTCGATTCAGAATTAAAATCTCCTTTATTATCGTGCTGTTAGAAAACAGTTTTATTTTAAAATTTCTTATAAAAATACCCCGAATATTAATAAATCTAACATCAAATCCGATAATTAAAACATCAATTCTATTTTTTAAATTTAAAAAATTTAAATCGATAAAAATAAATCTCGATCGATCTTTTTTCTTTTCCTTTTTCTTCTTCTCCAACAACCATTTAAACAAGTAAATCGTATCGAGCCCGAAAGAAATTAGAATTGTTAGAACGTTTTAGCAGCGTTCTAAAGCAGGGAGGACAGCACCCGATAAGAATTATCTCACCGACCCCGGTGTTACCTAAAACAGAGAGGAGAGAGGAGGGCCGAGAAAAGCGCTTAACTTCCACGAATGTTTTACCAAACGAGCTGCCATAATCCTGGTTAAATATCCAGCTGTATCCTATTCCCGAATCCGGGGGAATCTCCTCCGCTTCCAGTTGACTTTCCACCCCCCACCCCCAACCCCCGACCGGAATGGAATCCGCGATATGCATAAAAATGTCATTCAACCGAGGCGAATATTCAAAACTCTTGCCGGCCGTATGAATGGCCGTTTTCATCGCGAATGAAATTATATCCCGGCTAGCCACTTTATCTCTCTTTAACTCGCCGAATATAAAATTTATTTCGACGAATAATAGTCCAAGTTGGTCCTGACTCCATTTTTTTTTTTTTTTTGTCTGCAATCCTCTATTCACGACGAGGGTGGAATAATTTTTTCTGTAAAAGAACGTTTCGAGGGTCGATCCTTTGTTTGTAATTTTTCGAAATTTTGGAAATTGATCGAGATACAGAGGAAGAGAGAGAGAGAGAGAAAATCAATGTTGGTTGGAGAACGAGTGAGAAGATAGTTATGGACAAGTAGAGTGAGCCAGGCTTGGAGAGACAAGTGGAATAAGATAGTTACGGGGAGACAGTAGTGGATTAATTAAATCGTGGCCAGACAAGCAAGACAGAGTTTATAATTGGACGAATGGAACGAGGCGTTCTCACGATTATCAGATAAATAGGATACGAAACGGATACGAAAAAAGGCGGACGATGGAATAGACAAGTGGAATGAAAGTTACTCGAGCATCGATAACGAAGCTGAACGGATCGAATTAATATTTTCTCACGGAGATGAGGAATATTTTACGATTCTTTCGGGCCAAGCTTTGATTTAATTTGTAATTTGTCATATATTTAGATCGCGAGAAGTTAAGGTTTAACGTTCTCTTCTTAACTTCAGAAGAGAATTTATTAGCAATCTCTATGCAACTTTGAATTTTGATCCTTGACTCTTAAATCGATTATCATTGCATAATAAATGTCGACGACAATGATTGATAGATGTAAAATTAATATTAGACGAAGCAAATTTCATCGAGTTTCACGAGTTTAAATTTATAATCAAATATTTGACAATTATTTCATTGAGAATAATAAAACACGTTATATGAATTCTCGACTAAATAAATTTAAAAAATATCCACAACTTCTTCTTTCTCTTACACCTTTAAATACTATAATTTTGCTTATAAATCAAACTCATCGTCCTAAAATTTCTTACACCATCCTATCCACCATCATAAATCGATAATATCAAAGATCAAAATCTAATCACACCACTTTTCTTCCTCAAAATCCATCACGATCACGATTCAAAAAAATAATAATAACAATAATAATAAAAAAAACAATCTCACCCTTAAATTAGAACATTTAAAATCTGCAAACCAAGCAATCGTCCCGAAATCAACACAGACGCACGTATCGCACCGTTCGTGTAACGCGTATCATCCTTCCTCCAGTCATTCGATTCGAAATCGTGGAAAGTTTCCTCCTAGGTGGGGGGTTGGCTACAAACGAGGGTACGCGGAAGTCGAGTATCGATGTCATCTGCAAGCACGGTTGAAGGGTGATGCTGCTCCCTATATCGCGTTGCGAATTGTTCTTCGAACTAACCGCGGCGGCTGCATCTGTAACCGGCAGCCACGGTAATGGAATATGACAACGTGAGCTGCATAATGATCAGCCGCTTCCCTGCCTCCCAACTTTCTAATAAAACGACCATTGTCGGTGACGTTTGTCCCGTTACGGTTATGCACGGCCATGAAACGACAACGGTCCACAGACGACGACACCCAGTGACCGAGGCTTGTTGCTGCATGTGTGTGTGTGTGTATATATATATACGTATATTTAAGGTGAGAGATAATGGAGGATTACGAGGAGAACTTAGAAATAATATCCTCTTATTAGATCCGGTTATTAATCCCTTTTGATTCTATTCTATTAATTTCTGATTTTTTGGTAAAATTTTTAAAAAATAAAATAGTAGAATTCTGAGTTTTGGAGTTATCATAAATTTCAGGTTATTTTTAATATTAGTAAGGATTCTAGTTATCCTAAAATTTACTTAAATATACATTATATCGTTATAGTGTTTTTTAAAAAAAATTATTATAAATAATGAAATAATCAGCTCTTACGTATTATAAAATTTCATAAACGACAGATAATACCTCTTCGTGTTCGTAGAGAGAGTGGCCACCAAAGAGATTTCGGATCGGATGAGAAATTCGGGATATACGTATAATTAGGAGAGGGGTTGGGGCGAAAGGGGTATAACGCGATACGATGTTGATAAGTTGTTCCGCGGTGTTAATACGTTAATTAGAATTTCGCTAATTAATACTTGGAAAAGCGATTCAAAGCGGCGGCACGGGTCTGAGTCGCGCTTTAACCAACGGCGATGAATGGGCGCCCCGATGTATGTAATTGGGGGATCGAGTGACGGTTTAAGGTTGATATTTAAAGGATCCGTGTCCTGGCCAGACACGGCTCTCGCGAAACAACGTGCATTGAGCACGATAAAATAAACGAATCATCACGATCGAATCACACCTCGATTATAACTTCGAATTGTTATAAATTTATTTTACTAATTTTATTTACACCAAATTTATTTATTTATTGAATTTCCCCGAAGAAATAGATTTTGAAATTTTACATTGTTTCACTCGTTGTCGCAAAGAACAATATCGTCGAAGATAAACGTTTTAACAAATATTTTTTCCA